AGGGAGCAGTATCTGCAAAATCTGACTAAATAGTTCTCATTACTGAGTGATGGAAGAGCAATAGGAAAGATAATTTATTAGTGGCTCAAAGCTAATGAGAATAATTAGCACTATGCTGCTTTCTAAGCAAACACAGAATAACTGTTCCTTAAGGAGAACCGTCTCCCTGCTAGACCGGTCAGTGCTCTGGGCAGGAGGACAGAGGACTTCCAGGGGCAGGAATCCAACAAACCAAGGACCAGGTCCAGCAGCTGGGGGGGAACACCCAGACATCCTCCTGGCTTTAACTATGGGCCAGCACTGGAGCTGTGATTCCCTAAATTTTGGGCTAACAGACCATCTTTTTTCTGACCTCAAAAACAGCTACACCGGGCTGATGAATACAGAGTTTACAGTTCAGCTTAGCTCCTCGGAAGCTGCAGTCTGGAAATCGCCGCCTTGGATACCAAGCTTTTTTGCACCATTGCATCACACAGTGCCTGCCGCAACCTTGGCAAAAGCGGAGCCAGTCAAGGGTGCTTCGCAGGGAGTACTTCAGCAGCGCTGGTCAGCCAGGCATGCCAGCAGCCCCGGTTGCCAGCAGATAAAATGGCTTTTGAGTCCTTTCCTTGTAGCAACACCCCAGTACCCGCCTTCCTTATTCGGTAAATAAAAGCAGGATGAGCAGAGAAAGCATAGCATCTCCTCACAACCAGCCAAAGAAAATAACGGGAGAAATTTTGGTTTCCAAGCCCTTCCAGCACAGAGCAGTTATGTACACAACTGGATTAGCCAAAGGGCTGCACAGCCACGGTTCCAGCAGAGCCATAGAACGCTCAGGGATGCCGCCGGGCTGCCAAAGGCAAAGGCAATGCCAGCATTTGGCCCCGACGCTGAGCACCTGCTGACAGAAGCTCATTTCCCCCCCCCACCTCCATTTTCAGAATTTACTCCTGCAATCCCAGTGTACCATTACAGACCCAATCACACTAAAGTAAGCCTATTAAATGAAAATGAGGTGCACGTGGACAACAGTCCCCACTCCCCTGAGCATCATTTTGAGCAAATGGCTTGTTTCCTAGTTTCTAAAATGCAGTTGGCAGGGCTTTACTATTATTCTAGGAGATCCATATAGGCAGTATTTCTTTCTCATAATACAGCACTATCAAGAATATGTAGAGTGATTTTGCTTTTTATTTTTTAAAAGGAAAACAGACTTCTTTAAGAAAACATGTAGGCTAGGTCGCCAGGTCTTGACTTTTCTTTTGAAAAGCATTTAGCCTCTAAAATCAAAATCACCCATTAAGCAATTCCATCTGAAATGAGACTCTGTCTGAAGCATTCTCTTAAAGCTTACTCATGATGGGAGTTGCATCTGCTTTTCTACTCCCACAGTAAATGCTGTAAGAACATAAACCTTACCCTTCTAATCTTTTTTCACCATTAATATCAATCCATCTTTGTGGATTACTATTGAGAGAATTTTAAGTCAGCAAGATTTGGGGACCTAATTTGCTCTGGGTGGGAATTTAAAAAAATTCCCAAGGCTGTTTCACCCAACTGTAACATGTTAGGAGGGGCCTGGGGTCAATGGGGCTATTGGAGCCAGAATGCAGTGTTACAGGGGGAGGAGAGGAAATGGAGATCTGCTAAATTGCTTTTCTTGAGTCAGATTGGAAAGCAAGTCTCTCCCAGTCTCTCCTAGAGGAGCTGCTCTAGTCTGAACAACTAAGGACGTAGTTACTGAGTCAGAGATAGATGGATAACGCCTTTACAACAGAAGGCAAATTACCCTCTGGGGTTGCAGGGGACTGGGATATAAAGCTTACGCTCATCTTGGGACTCCAACCTGGGTCTCCCATGTCCCAGAGTACTCCTTCTTCTGGGATCTTGTCCGGGCTCCCTCTTCCCTCCTTTTGGTGGATGAAACAAACCAAACACCCCAGGCGCATTCAATAGATGGGAAAGCCATTTCCTATCCAGCTGCTACTAGTCTGCCCAAAACGCTTGGTCCTGCTCCCCTTCAACTCTTGGTCCGACAAGGACTGGATTGTCTTGGATTGTGACACACAATCCTTGCTCAGCCTCTCTGCTCCGTACACATCTTACCCTTCCTCAGCAAGACTTAATCCGTTTAGGGTTAACTGTGCAGATGTCCAAGACCTCTGAATCACACATTAAAAGGGCTGAAAGATCAAACCTGTAATTGCAAGAGCAGAACCTGTGATTCACTGCAAACTATTTGTTACCAGCAATTAAGTTTCTTGCTGATAAATGATTCATTATTTGAAAGCCCAAATTACTCACTTTTAACCATGGCAGAAATTCCTATGTGGTTATGAATGCCTGGGCTGTGCATCTACTACAACTTGCTGGAAAGTCTCCGTGTGTGAAATGCCCAACCGTTTAAATACACAAAGTAAGAGCTCTTACATACAAGACAATTTTCATTCACAGTTTGCAGAAAAAAAATTTAAAAGTATTTCAATTTCAACTTGACTGATGCAAATCTAACTATAAACTGACTTCACTAGCAAATATAAACACCAACTTTTGCTTTACTGGAGGCAACAGAATTACAACAGTGTAACTAAGATCCAGACCTGGTCTACTAATTAAAAAGACTTGGAAGCAAAGCTCTGAGCTCACAGTACACTCTAATTCACAGTTACCGAGGCTTCTGTCAGGCATTTGATGTAATTGTTTATGGTGTTCAAACCTGTATTTTTCAAAAACCATTCAGACTATAAACCAGATGAGTCATGACCCTGTAACAGAAGGTAAATTATTCTCCAATATTTTATATTTGTGCATTAACACATGATTAGCCAAGAAAAAGTGAATGCCCAAGTCCAAGAAGGAACTGACAAAAGACTGAAGGGGAAAATAAGAATCTTTAATTTTAATTTTATTATGGTGTAACCAGCTGTAAGGAATTACTGGTCTGAAGCACAGTGTGCAATTGTCCTATCCTAAACATTCACTAAAGCCTGTAATTCAGAATGAGCCTGACAAGTGAGGTCACAATTGGCGAGCTTTTTCTTTTTTTTTTTTTTGAAGTCCACGTTTCTCAGCAATTAGCACAAACATAGGCACAGCCTCTGGGCAGAAATGCTCAGGCATTTCTGGAGACTGTATTTCTTTAATGCCACCTGCTTTGACTCTGAGATCACAACAAATGCAGTAAATTCTGGACTGATCGTACCCGATAGTTTGCTGGTAAGCAAAAGAATTCCTGTTTCAAGTCAAAGAGCATCAATATATATTATTTCCTGAACACCGGGCAGAATGCTTGCTACTAATGCAAGGATAGCTTGAAAAAAAGAATTACCATGATCTTACAGCAAAAGTACTAAACACAACATGAAGTAACTATGCTAACAGAAAAGAAAAAAAAAAAACCAAAAAACACAGTAAGAGTTAATAAATTAAGCTACTTTCACACTAGACTATTATGTACTACCAGGCAGCTGATTTTTTGAGTGAAGACACTCATCAGGTGCCCAGTACAAGAAGGCACTTGGCACTGCTCCATCGCCGTTCAAATCGATGTCACGGTTAACTAGCTGGCTACCATACAAGGCCAATCAGGCTACCAGTATTCCCGATTACTCACTAATGGCTTCAGCAACATAACCAGTGCCAAACATACAGTGCCACTAATTGGGCGAGAGAGGAGGAAAAAATATCCAGGAGGGTGGTAAGATGCCATTCGCCTCCTGAGCAGCACAGCACCGAGCTGTCCGTTGGCATGGCCTTCGCTGAGGATTCAAACTAGCAAGAGAAAGGGAGACGGGCAGACTGGGGAGCAAGAGGAAGATTGCAGACCCAAGGCACGGTTCTTCACCATAAAAAGCTGTTTCACCTGCCTGCATGCACCGGCTCTGCCTCAACCACCACCAGCTATGGTTGTTCACCCAGCGGGGAAGAAGCTGAACAAGGCTGATTAATGATAAAAATACTCGTCTTTTTAAAAATTTATTTTTAGTTCAAAGTGAATCACAACTTCCTGCCCCTCCTTCTCCCCTCCTGCGAAGACATAAGTACCTCCAGATCAATGTCTTGGTTTTTTTTTAAGCATCAAGAGTGTAACATGTTTCCACTGCTGCTAATGCAGGTTTTACAGTGATGATTTTGTCAGAGAGAGATTGTTTATGCAACTCCTTAAAAAGCAAAGAGGAAAAATCCCACATACAAATGCAGATAAACTTTTGGAATGTAAACACATCATATACATAATTACTGCATTATCAAAAGTATTATACATTTATCAAAACCGTTGAACATCACGCTTTCCAACAGATATTTGATATGGCCCAATCATAATTTGAAGGGAGACTGTATACCCTATAAGGGCAACTCTATCACTATAAGATAATCAGTCACTCCTGCCATAACTTACAGATGCATTTGACAATATCAATGCCAAAAAAGAAGGGTTTAGTTTAGTTTTACCCATGCTCTGCTGATTTTTGATACTTGGCTTAATTCACTCAATACATTCTATAAAGGTGTGTAAACAGTCCTGATATAAAGACCAGAGAGATTTAAATGAAATCAACAGATCTGGACCGGGCAATGTTAATGTCTTCATTAACTCAGATACCTTATTTATCCCTGAGCACCTTAACATTTTTCACCAAAATCTCACTGAAGAACATGTAACTATTTCACAAGAATGTAACACTGCATTTGGATAAATCTGTGTCTTACAAGTCCTGTTCTCCTTTGCTGGTTTAAAAAAAAAAAGAAACAACCAAAAAAACCACAAAACCCAAAAAAACGTGACCCCTTCCCTTTGTTGTTCACATGTACTGCAATACCTTTTAAAAAAAAAATTCACCCTATCAAACAACATCACGTACAGACACACTACAGACTACAAAAATATTGCATAGGAGTGTCAGTGGGCATAGTCTCACAACATGAGAGAAAATGCAAAGTTTGCTTTAAAACATTATGGCAACATTCTAATTTATTTTCCTTTTAAAAATCAAGTGGTTTCACTTTATTTTGAAATTGTACAAAATGGCCATGGCTGTTTATAAAAAAAGTCTCTGTCTTGAGAATATGTGAAGTCTCAGGTGCATTAACAAAAGACCTGGAACCATTCACAGTGCAGCGGAAAGCTTCTTTTGAGGCAGAAACTACAATTCATCCTTCTTCTTTCCTACTCTTTCATGGTCTCTTTCTCTCAGGGTTCGCATGAAAGTGGTGAATCCAGGCTCCTGGTTTTGAAGAAAGAAAAATATGGGTCACATTTTTACAAACCAAAACAATGTGTCAAAACCACTTTTAGTTTCTGTATCTCACAGCAGCATATAAACTAAGGAGTGGTTACTGCTTCTGCGTTGCCTCATCATGCAGTGCTCTGGTGCAGTGCTGCTCCGCTGCAACACAAGGAGAAAAGACTCATGCAGATTCTACAGGTCAAACCTTGCAGAGGTGGAACACAGAGAAAAAGGCCCCAAAACTCACAGGACGAGGTAAAATCTGTCCCTTGATGCCTTTTTGTGAAAAACATTCAAGGACATTTTCAAGCCACATTTGTATGCTCCGTGTGTCATTCTGAAAGCAGTTAGTGGATTGTTTGTTGGCTATACACACATTGGCCACTGTTCCTCATCCCTTAATGGTTTTGCTCATGATCTTCCTCCTTTGCCACACATTAGGATGATCGGAATTACATTTTTTCAAGTTACTATCAAAATTAGTCAGTTTCAAACCTGGATGCCTACATGCCGACTTCTGTATTTCAACAACTTACGACTTCTGATTGTTTAAGGCTGTTGGATGCCAGCAGTTTCCTTTTCCAAGGGAAGCTCTGAACACGACTCACAGGCATTTCAAAAGGCTCGGACAGGCGGAGGTGTGAACACGTGTGTTTGAACACACTGTCTGCTGGTACACCAACACGACAGTTGTCTGAGGAAGTAACACTGATCCCACCCAGTGTGACCATTTTTACTTTTAAGCAATCCCAAGACACATCAGTCAAAACTGGGGATGAAGAGGGAAAATAGAAACAGGCAGAGAACAACAAACGGAGGTCAAAGTTTGACTTAAAACACTGTTGAGGAACAACAAAATAAAACAAAACTAAGAAAACTAAATAAACCAAAACCAAACTCCAAAGGTAGGAAGCTTTTGAGCAGGCTGAACAACAAAACACTCTTCTGAAACTATTCACTGTTGTTCCACTGAAAAAAACAGAAGTGACAAGTTTTGGCCATAATGTCATCTGGAGACATCTGGCAATCAGCAGCCCCCATGAAAGGACCCCAGTTTTGACAGCTGTGTGTCTGGAAGTTGCTTAAAGTACCCTTGGGTCAGAGGGTGTCCTGACTTTTCCTTGCTCAAGTTGCTTGGGGTGAAATGCCCTAAAATCTCTCCTCTGGAACTGCAGTTCCCTTGGAGGTGTGGAGGACCCCTTACAGGCTACCGCAGAGGGCCATGCTCGTCCCCACAGCCAGTGCTCCAGTGTGGGGTGGCAAGGAGCTGAGTGCTCCTGCTGCACTGGCCATGGCTCTTGCTGGAGCGTGTCATGTTGCTCTCATGGCAGCCGACATTGCCTCTCTGCTTCCCTGCCCACATGAGATGATGATACACCAGCTGGACTACACTGAACTAAATGCTCATGGACATCTACTGATGTAGTGCCAGGATCAGGGACAGGAAACAGGTCCCCTGGCTCCCACTGCTCTCTCCTGAGATTTCTTTTGCAAAGTAGGAGGTGGTTGGCCAAGATGGTTCAAAAGGTGTTGTCATGCTGATGAGAAGTCCTCTGACAGCACAATCCCTTGCTACTGCAACAGATTTGTGAACAGACCTGGGAACTCCATGGAAAGCACTGTGCTAAGCACTGCCTCCACTGTTACCACGATGGGAGATAACAAAACCTAATCTGATGCTGCACAAGCAGAAGACCACAGGTCCCAGGAGAGGTGGAGGGGGAACACAGTTGCCAGCAGCAGATTGTGATATTCCTGTTGGGTAATTTAATTCTACCCAAGAAAGGGCTGGCTGCACGTAGAGGATTAGTCAGTCCACTTTCCAGCACAGGGATAATCATCTCCCAACTGCTGTGGCCTCAGAGCACTCCTGTCTTGCTAAGTTCTTTTTATCAACCACCACAGATCCTTCCTTTCATAAATCATTTCTGTAAGTATGGGTTAGAAATACAAAAATTGCAGCTGAAATTTTACTTAATTATTGGCTACTGCACCCATCTTTACTTTTACGAAAAGATCCACAATCGGGAATAAACACAGTATCCATAACAACAGCACCATAAAATGGTAATTACTGGGGTCCTAATGCCAGAGAAAACTGGGAAGCGAAGCTCCATGAAGACTTCCCTAAGATCTGGACTGACAAAGAAACTCAGAATTTGGATTTTTTCTTCATGCTTCTCTATAATTTGGTGAGCTGAAATAGCAGCGATAACTTTTAGGCAAGGCTCTTTTATCAACATCACTGGATGGCTTGAGACCCCAAGTTTTTCTCGCAGACCCTAGCTTCTCCAGGCAATCAATCACTACTGAGAAGTAACCTCCCTCTAGAAGGTTATGGCAAAGAGTGCACAAATAATTGGATTGCTCCCTTATTTTCAGGCACTTTACAGCCATGGAAGGCATCATGCCATTTCTGCCCCTGTACTCACAGCGTATGATTAGCTGGCCACAGAAGGACAAAAGAATGGAACTTTAGCCCACGGGCTAGATGGCACAACTGGTCTTTCCATCCTGAGCTCCAGGAATGAATCTGATTCAGGGAGAATGAGAGGTTTATTTCCCCCAGTCTCCATAGGACAGCTTTGTCCCTGCTATAAAACCAATGGTCCATCACCATTTGGCAGCCTGGTGGACCCGTAACACGTTTGCAGTGTATGCACAATCCAGATCCAGAACGGACAGGAGTAAGTTCTGTATTTTCTGGCATTTCTGCACCTAGCAGCAGACCACGCAATAAACCCTTCAATTTCACTCAGTCCAAATCCACTTGCAGACTTCAGCTTAAGAATAAAATATACAACAAAGCATTACCAAATCTATTCCTTTTTCCTCTTCTCATGTTCCTAAAATAGACCAAGTGTATTCCTAATGCACAGATGTCCAGGGTGTGGCACACAGTGATTCATCCACGTAGACAGTAACAGAAGCAGTTAAACGTCCTTTCAGCATGGTAACAATTTGCCCTGCAGTTTTTATTTGCGAGGCAGCGCAGGCAGAGGAGACCTTCCTCCCTGTATCAGGCGATGACTCTTGCTTTCACTTACCCCTCTTTCGCCAGTATATTTCTCCACAAATTTACCATAGTTGTAATAGTTGAAGGTGGGGTAGCCATCAACCCCCTCCTGCTTACACAGGTCGTGATTCTGTTCTTTGGCACAGTCCACTGCAGCGTAGGCGATCTGAAATGCAAGAGATCAGCATGAGGCAGGAAGACAAATCAAGACTCCACTTCATGGTTATGCTGCTGCAGCTTAGACCTAACACTAGGAGAGACCCAAGTCTTCCAGCAAAAACGCAGCAGCTTTTGTAACAGCTCAGCTGTGGAGGAAGATCAGAGGATGGTCATCAGGTCAAGCCAGGCGAATGGACGAGCAGAAGGCCGCTGCCTCCCGCTGAAACGCTGCGCTGCTCACACAGCACCTGGCTTACGCAGCTGCAAGGCGCGCTCGACTCGCAGAGCAGAAAATCACCTTCCTAGTCTCCCTGTTGAGCACTGCGTTGGACTCCAAACGGGAAATCCAAAGGCTGTTTTAGTAAAACCAACTCCAAGCACGGCAGTCACAGCTCTGTCACACTGCAATATTTTTCCTGCACTTGGTTTTAAGTGATGAACCACGACAGGGTGATTTTGGCAACGGTAACAACCCACCTAGCCCGACCTCCTTCCTGTGGCACGTCCTTGGACAAACATGGCCGGTCACTTACGCAGGCTGTTAATAGATTCATGATTTCTACCCCAAATAGCTTTTGTAAAGTTCATTCAGTTCAGTCCAGTTTCATAAAGGTCACTCTCCCAAGGCCGAACGGGGATGGGTGAGAGGCCAGAGCATGGTCTACTGCGTAGTGCCAGTACAGCAGTAAGCTGCTTGCTTGCACTCCCAGCCTCGGTTCATTTCCTTTCCTGTCCTTCTTCAGTCTATGGTAGGGACTGTATGTTATGTGCAGCCATTAGCAAAGTGGGCTTTAATTCCTTCTGAAACCTCTAGATGCTACTGTCACACAAACAAACCCCGCGCAGGAAACAGCCTGTCAGCAGCAGAGCAACTCCCTGCGTCCCTGCCAGCTTCAGCACAGGCAGAGCGACGAGGCGCGACCGCGCAGCCCCAGAGCATCGGCTCAGGCTGACCCTAGTTCAGAGCATTTGACATCTGAAACCTGAATCTGCGAAGTCTCGAGGAGGGGCTGCACTTAACATTTCTGCCGTTGAAACAAAACACAATTTATAGGCTTCTACTTCAAGCAGCCGAGCCCTCTGCTGCGATTTCACACTGACTGTTCCTGCGAGCGGCAGTCCTGGCTCCGAACGCACGCTGCTGCTCACGCCGGCTTGCCTTCACAGCCCCGTCACATGCGCTGCTGAAGAGCAAGCAGCTTTATGTACAAGCTAGGCAAAAACCAGAACAAATTAGAGGAACGATTTTTGCAATTGTGGGTTATAATGTATCAACTGCTAATTTCATAGCAGACCCATCTTAATTTGAAATTTCCGTTCCATGAGCCTCCTTCAAACAATCTGATCAAAATACCTTTTGCTTGCATGACTTTAGGGTTGCAGTTGAACTGTTCTTCCATAATTAAAAGATCACTTAAAATTCCACAATGCCCTCCAGTTTCATGGTGATGCTGTCAAAATGAAAAAACCTGATCTCATTATCCTAGAAGTAATTAAAGATATTGGCAAGCCAACTTCAGTTAATTTGCTTGTTTCGTTTTGGTTTTGAGAGCCTGAGAAGACAATATTCAGTAAGATCTCACTTGGGTCTATCTTCAGATGGAAAGCACTATATAAAGTGAGCAGTGTTCTTACCTATAAATATTTGGTTTCTGTTTTCCCATTTTAAACATTAATAAGGCTATTACAGAAACAGGACTCTTGAGAGCTGTTAAAAACACGTATGATCACACTTTTTTTTTCCTTTTGTAAATGGAAAGACTCCTACTCATTCAGGGCCAGTTAAAACAAAAGGTTAGGAATAATACACTGCAAAAAGAGTTTCACCTAAATATTTATGCCTTGCTGACCTTAGCGGCCAGCCAAAATTTAGAGCCCTGTTGGCTACTTCTGTGGAAAGGAAAGCTTACAATGGAGACAAATATTTATTTCATGTCACAGTATTAATGCAGAAAGAATACTGGAAGTCCTGGTTCCCTGAAAACAGGAAGAATAAATAAAATATTTTTTTTTTTCCTCTCACTGCTTTACATACCACACAGGGAGAGATTACAGCCAGAAAAAGGGGAAGGTATATGTGCACTCATCCAGATCTTAGTAGCTGGTCTGAGGCATGAAACTGTTGTGACTGATGACCCAGTTGTTCTTAGATAAGTGTCTTGGAGATTAGGAAAACTAGTTTTTCGTACGTTGGAAGGAAGAGAAGCTCTCTTTACCTGTACCTCTCTGGAAACGTCTAGCCTGGCTTTGGTTGGAGCAGAGCCCTATTTCACTCACAAAAGGCTTTTGTGAGAGCAGCCCCCAGTGAGGAGAGGGCATGGTGGAGGAACGCAATGCTATAAGCTACTGTTAAGCTTGCTCAGCACATCTTTACTTGTTGCCTCCAAACAGATGACTGATGGGCTGTAAGGAGGTGGCTTCTGAAAGAAACACTTGTAGTCTGCTTGAGATACAGCTCTCCTCTACAGCACATGGCAGTCTAAGCTGGTCCATCTGTGCGTTTGTTGTGTGCTGAAATAATGCACAGAGATCCCAGTCTAAGTCTGGCCGCAACAGTCACATTAGCCTAATACTATGCCTAATCTAACAGGTCTAATGGCAAGGGACGCATCCAGCTGGAGTAGCGTTTGGAGGACATGTCCATGGTCTGTCAGTCTCTGAAATGCTCCTGATGCAAGCTCCCACACAGCCCCAAGGACTCAGCGCTGCTCCTACAAACGTCATTCTGAGCCCAGCTCTTCAGAACATACATTCCCGTTCAGTTATTTTTACAGCCAGTGAGAAATGGCAGTTTTCAAAAGCCTTGTAACTCATACAGGCCTGAGCAAAATTTCAGAGAGAGACATCTAATTCCCAAGACTGCATCTGAGGGTGCATTTCAAATGCCTGCTGCCAACACTAGCTGAGTAAGAGTACTTAGGAGAGCCTGAGTGATTACTTTAGAGTGGAAATGTTAAGGCAGCCTAAATATAGAGGTTGCTACCATCTCTATGCACTCATTACCATAGCATCACAGTCCTAATTGTCTTGCCTGTCTCACAGCGGAAGATCAAATATAGTGCACTGCAAAAAGAGAAAAGTAATGCTGAAGAATGCCTGTGACAAAACACACTTCTGGGCTGCGGACCTATTCCAATCTCAATTCGATCAACAGACGGCTGAACTCTGAGCTGTACCAGAATTTCAGCAAACAGCACCGACGCCCTTTGCTTCATTCTGTTTGTGTTGTCATGGACTGTGAATATTAAACTCCATTTTTGATAAACAAGTCTCCTACAATAGCTTTCAGTTAGGGTGAATCGCTTCATGAGTCTTCTGAAAGGCTGCACGCAGAAAGATGCAGCCCACAAGAAGAAAGGCTTTGCTTGAGTCCTGGCTCAGTGATACATTGCAAGGAGGTCTTCCTCTCCTTCACTATTTTCTTAGCAACGATCAACTTTTCTGCATCGCTAAAGAAGGAAACTGAGTCAGGAAAAACATCAACCCAAAAAACCTCTACCAAAATGTGGTTAAAGACTTCTGGAGAATATAACTCCTAGAAATGCTCTTCATATTCAATCACCAGCAACAAGTTACATGGAATTTCACTGGAAAGCATAGGTTAGCAAGATCTATATGCTTTGCCTTGTAAAAACACTAACTCTGTTCACCCCAAAATTTCAGATTAAGCATAAGACATCCCTGATACGTATCCAGCAGCCAAGACACTTGGCATCATCTCTCATGAATTCCCTCTAATCAAGAGGGGAAAACCCCTCTCAAAATCTGAGAGCAAGAAACTCTCCTAACGCTGGTGTAAGACTTGTGTGTGTATATATGTATCCACTACGGAAAAACCCAGAGTAACAGCTTTCAGAAGACAAGATTGATTTTATGGAGATTTTGACTGTTAGGGCTAAAATTTAAGTTCTTGAGCTCTCCTAACTTTCCTATAACCAGAAGGAAAAATCCACTGAAAAAAAAAACATTTCAGGAAAAAAATCCCCTAACTGCTTTATCTGCAACATGCAGAAAACTCCACAGGTCTATGGATTCTCCATAACACAAAGCTGCACTGCCTTAGATATTGACAACACATCATTATATACAAGCTCTCCCTCCAAAGGCAATGCCGCTCAGGTTCATCACCATCCTGTTCAGTAGCTGTAGCAGGAATAGAATAGTTATCAAATGAAAAGATAGTCCATCAGAGACTGCGGACTCCAGAGGAAGTTCCTTGGAGTACATCCAGCCTTCCTGATGTTATTGGTAGTTCCTCACAACTACTATGCAGTTTATAATAATTAATAATACCAGGTTAGTATGCATAATAATTATGAATAATAATTATGCGTAAAAATAAAAATAATACCAAGTTAGTATGCATTTCTTCTTTATTCCATAGTTGGTATAGTTTAACACAACTCTAGCAACATCTGGGACTGGCAAATATCTTTATCTTAAAAGGGAAGTCATAGAATGCTTTGGGTTGGAAGGGACCTTTAGAGGTCCTGTAGACCAAACCCCCTGCAACGAGCAGGGACATCTTCAACAAGACCAGGTTGCTCAGAGCCCCGTCCAACCCGGACTTGGTTTTACCAAAGAAGTGGGAGCTTAACTACAGAGTTGCGAACTTAACTCTGCACAGCATTAGAATGTGAGTAATGTACAAGCCGCTCTGAAGAGCTCTTAAAAAAGGAAATAGAGCATGGCATATTGTTCAGATGAAGTGGTCTGATCATGAATGCCAAGCTGTTGCAAAAATCAGAACTTTTCATTTAGGTGCTTAAATAGAAGTGGAGCTATGCTGAAAATGTGACCATTGATCTCTGTGAGCCTCAACTGTACCAGAAGGACGATGCCTTATTTTTTTACCAAGTAAGTACTAGAAGGAAAAAGAAGTACTTGCAGTATCATCTAATCATACATCAAGAATCACAGTTCCTTTCCAACAGAATTACAAAAGAACTTTTTGCTCTAGAGGGATCTTGCAGGTAAGGAACACAATTACATCCAGCAGTTCAAATAGATGTGTAGAAAATTGAAAGTGCGATGCCTTGACCTTCCAGGTAACTCCTCCTTTCTGTTGTTAAACCTCTTTCATTTTAACAGTTTGTCACCCAGTCACCACATGATGATACAGTAAAAATACCCCCTGCAATCCTAGTTGCTCTCCTGTTAAAATATGTACTGACACACTCCGGTTTATTGATTCAAGGAAATAAATCTCTGCTGGAGCTAATATTGACTTTTGTTATGAAAATGGAAGTGAATAACTAACTGAATATTGATTTGAGAGAGGAATGATAGATGATAAGCTTAAAAAAAAATAAAATAGAAGTAAAATTGCAGCATGGAAAAGAATGCTTCCAAGCAACATTTTTGAAGTATAGTCAATTCCAGACAATTACCTGATTATTAGAAAAAAAAGTCTGTTGTTGCCAAATCTCTTAAAAGCACCTATGAGTAAGACAGATGTGCATTCTTGTCTATGATTACTCCATAGGTTTCTATTTATATTAGCTGTTCTGGATCCTAACCGCAGTTATGAGCTGGCCTGCTAAAGCTGGTTGCGCTTCAGCTACTGTTCTCAACGTGAAAGGCCTTGCGAATGGAAGGCTCATTATGAGCTGCCCTGATGTACCACAGCAGCACTACCACAGCTGCGATTCATCGGCCCTTCTCAAGGCAGGCCTGTTTGCAAAGGGGAGATCCGTTAGTAGGCATCATGATGTACAGTGCTAACATCACCATATTTAATGAGCCTAATTAAAAAGAAATTCAACACATGCTTTTCAGGCAAATAGCGATCAAATTCTTGGCCAACCTAAAATATTAACTCATTTGGATAACTCTGCACAGTGAGTTGGTTGGTATAATGATTTTAAACCATAGTTCACGCCACGGTTCATGATACACATTGGGGTGTGCTCGCCCCCCAGGTCACTTGCAGCCCCCCGCTAGCAGCGCAGCTCACCCCATCAGCTGCACCCTTTCCAGCAATCTCTGCCACAGCTGTTTCTGTAGAACGCACGAGAACCCAGCTGCAGTGCTCTGATTTAGGTCAGTGCATCTGTACAGGAACAATCTTCTGTGAAAATGGAGAAGACAGCAGCCCTTTTGGGGGAGTTCCAGAGATTTGTTACTGACAGGCCTTGAGGAGTCAAGAGCTTTCCTTCAAGCAAATCCAAGCTGGGGCATCACAAATCAGTTTCTTCAAGCTGAACTTTAGGATCAGCCAAAAGGCAGAATGCCGATTTTTGAAGATTTAGCTGGTGCCCTTTCAAGAGTCTCTGGAGCAGTTAGTGAACATGCCTTCCTGCTCTTCAATCTGTTCAGCAAAGTGACAATCCTCACATTTACATTTTCTGACGTACGCTGGTCATTGCCAAAACTCAAGCTGTGGAGCACAGGCCAAAGGCTTTCCCCTGGCAGCTGTATCCAAAAGCCACAGCGCCCCAAGGCAAGGATGCTCCAGATGGCTTTTTCTTTTCCTTTTTAAATAACTGAAAGCAATATGCGAACTGCTTCACTGGACTACCCTCTCCACTGATCTGGTCTCACTGGCACTGGATTTCTCCAGGTACATGGAAAGATGTGGAGGCTCTGGTTGATGGGTTACACCCAGAGCCCTGTTTTGCAACAGCCACACCATTGCCCCAGGCAAGCGCGCAGGCTCGGGATTTCTGCTAAAACCACCAGCAGCGATGTGGCCAACCAGGACTGACATTTGGGGCCAATGTTCCAAGCATTACGTTTCTAAACTCTGACTCCAGCAGTGCAGATGATGAAAAAGTACAGAGCATTACACACAGCCCCGGGGTGGGGGCTTCTGCGCCAAAACCACCCCCTTAGAGCGAATCTGCAGAGCCAGAGACAAGTATTTAACAGGTTCAAGCTGTGCTCATCTTCAAAATTCCAATGTAAAGACTCTAAATCTCCCAAAAGACACCTTTGAAGATACCATTTATAACCAATTCAAGGCTGGAATGTTTTTGATTTTTCCTTGGCTTCTGCAGAATTAAATGATTAATTAAAGGACCACCCCAACTGAAAAGAAGATACAGTTTAAATGCTACCATACTCTGTTAAAGTGAAAAAAACCTTCTCGGGGGGGGACAAAAAAAGACACTACTACAGAATAAAAATTAGAAATCTTTCCCTGTTTTTGAAAGAAGTAGTACTTCTTCCCTCTTAAGCAGTACTTTTACAGAAGTTTGAAACCCTACAGAACTACAAATTAGACAAAGTTTGAAGGCTCAGCCCAATTTGAAACATGGGAATATGCCCAATGCTGCATGTGGGAACAGCCAAGTGCCCTTCTGAAGTCTTAAACAGGTTTGTTTTCTTTTCCACAAGGGCACAAACTGGCAGCAAGAAGCACCTTGGCAGGTTGTGGCTGTACACAATTAATAGGGCTCCCTGGATAATCAATCCCTGGCACTTTCATAAGTCACTGGGGTGGAATAACATCGTTTTCCCTAACTGCACACACCTCTTTGAAACTGTACCAGCCTTAATATTCCCTACTGGCTCTCCTGTTCCAACTCATTGCATTTTATACCTCCCCACTTCAGCCTTAAACTGAAGTTAAGAGTTGCAACCATCAATCACTGCGCTGCTCTTGGAGTCCTTTGATAACCCGCAGTCTGAACCGAAAGCTTCACAAGCCTGCCTTTACCACCACCACCGCGTCCAATAAACTGCACCATAATTCAGATTGCTTGCTAATACAATCCTGAGGCTCTAATAAGCAAGTTTCGCATTGTTTGGTACATTTGCTTCATCTCCTCTGAGTGAAATTTTAATGAGTTTAGGAAAGAGAAGCTTCACTGGGAACTACCAGAAAAGTGGGAAAACAAGGACACTTTCTCAGAGATCTCAGAAACAAACAAATAACCAAAAGGCGTCTGAGCACACAAATTTACAGCAGTAAGAGAACTGAAAGCTGCATGCCTCTACATCTTCTGTGTGCCAGAGTGCATAAGTGATTGACTTCTAATTTTATGCAGTCAGTGATACAAGAATGATTTGTTTCCTGTCAATCTGATGCGTCTTCCGTGAGTTATAGAAAAGGCAAGAGGAAAAGAGAAAAGAACACCACAGAAACTCTTCCCTTATGGCAGCAGGCAGATTAATAGGGGTATAACTGTTTCAAAACTACCTCTTCATTTCCCTATTAAATTGCCAAATTTTTCCATGCCACACCTAAACGCAAAGCAATCGTGAAGTTGGAACAAAGTCAAAGATCAGAATGAAACACAGTTCACTCAAAGACAATACGCAGGTTTCTAACTAGTTATCTGGTTAAACCCAGTGGGCCCAGGTGTTTCTTTTAATCCCAGATGTGCAAGCAGTCAGTTAAAAAGGTTCAGCTGATTCAAAGAAATTAAGTGGTATGCTTCAGCCATCAGAGGTATTTTCAAGGCAGAAGCACAAGGACCCTAGAAGGGCCCAACATCCTGGACTCAAGGCAGCCAACATACAGAAATAGATCATATTTATGCTACGCAAGCAAAGATTAGTTATATGATGGAGGTTTTCAGGACTGTCACACAACTTGTGGTTTCTCTACATGCACCCCACTTCTGGCTGAAACAAGTTGCAGGGGAATGGAGATGATGTAAATTCTCTTTTATTAATCTTTCAGTGAGAAAGAATGCGTTTCGCTTCATAGAAAAGAACTTTTCCACAAAGAATTAAACAGAAAAGACAACAAATCAAAGAAAACAGAGTAATTCAGTTTCACCAAAAAGATACAACCCCTAAGATGCAGATACAATTCTATGAGTGTAGCAGCAATTTTATCTACAAGCCTAACACCTGACCAATAAGCAAAGCCTGTAAAATACAAACGGTGGAAAACATTCTTAAATATCTCTGAAATTATTAACAGCCAGTTACCTTTCGATCTTCTTTAAAGACTTCAGCAGCGGTTGTAAAATGTGGAATGGCATTTTTACAGTGTGGGCACCCTGTTTGACACGGGAAGAAAAAAACAGCATAAACATTAGTTGTAAATAGGCTGCTGGGACAAACTCAAGACACAAGGTGAGTTAATGGAAAATTTGTATTAAAAATAATTCTGAACAAGAGTTCTCCAGTTCTGGGAAGAGCAGGACAAGGCATCTGTAGACCATGTGTCAGCTACACGAACTTAAGCAGGTGTCTAAAATCGCTCTCACTTCAAGCAGTCCAAGCCTACCCTTTCAGGTAAGCGACATCCCATACAGGGACCGTGGTGCCGGGGCCTTCTCCCTATCGGCCTGGCCCTTAACAGCACTGCCAGATCACTGTCCACAAATGAACAAACTGTTTCCCTGCTGCTGTACCTCCTCATGGGCATGACCACGTGGGTTATTACTGCTGTTGCCGCAGATACAAGCTACGTTTGGACACAGGAATTAAGGCAGCACAGTCACGAACAGGAAGAGATTGGAATTTGGAAAGCAAGTCGCTGGATGAAAAACTCCACATTGAAGAGCAAGGGGAGCGTTTAGAAGTGTTTGGGAACTGCCTGTGTCAGCGCCAAGCCATCGGGATCACACAGGAGGGGAAGAGGAACAAGTCGAACCGGCCGCACATCTTTCATGTAGGGAGAGCAGATGTCCAGGCCTGGGTTAGGAGGACTGCTGCTGGCCTTCCTGGAGACCTTGCTCCTCTTCACCACAGAACAGGCAACCCCAGGAGAGCTTTACAGGCACCGCACACAAGGACCCACAGCTCTGTGTGGGAGACGGGCCGATACTTGTTTGTACCAATGCAGCCTTGAACAAAAGGCCAGATCATCCCTTGATTAAACATACACTAAATATACTCAAACATTTCACAAGACGCCACAGAAAGGGAACAGGAACTGCTCTCTTGATTTAAGATTCAGATATGAACGGTCTTAATTCAGAAGCAGTGTTTATCGTCTATGATGAATCTTAACTACTTTCAAAATATCAATACTGAGTAAGTCTTTGAAAAGGAACATACCTGCCTATGTGTAACAAATTACTTTTTTCCAAACATAGCATCAAGAGGTTTTTCCCAAGCAAAGACTCAGGACACTATTTTTTTTGCTTAGATGCAGGGAAAAAAAGGAATGGACACGCTTCTGTCAAGCCTGTATAACACTAGCAAAGGCAAAAGAGTTAATCGTACTGTTATTTCTGGATAGGAACAGAACAGAGCACAGATGAGTTGCTCACAAGCTCCAATTACAGCTTATGCTGCTGTTGTTCATCATTGTAAAATACTGGTAAACAAGTGGCTGTGTTACTTTTAAGTCAGTGCTGAACAAATGCCCTCTTAGGAGGCTTGCAGCCGCCCTCTCATAAACTGCACTCATGCTTTTAGCTGACAAGAAAAACGGTGTCTGTGCATAAACACTGCACACCCCTTCTCACAAAGGAAAGGCTGCACACCCTTTTCATCTTCACCAAAAGGCAATTTCATTGCTTAGATGCACTGCTTTGAATTTTAGAGTATTTTTTTTTTCTTCAGAATGGGATTTTGAAAGCACTGCAATGACACACATGTATAAATACAAGAAAAGTCTATGCAGTAACTAAGAATACCGAAAAGTCAAGAGGGCATTTCCTGGGAAACGAAGGCACTTTTGCAAATCCATCTTAATGGCTTCCAATTCTTTATGCAGCATAATGGCAGTCTATCCTGATGGCAGCTGTGTTTCACTGGGAGATAGTGCAGGTCCTCTGCAGCTTGCAAACTACTAACTTTGTTTGGCAGTTCAACATTTGCCCGGGAGAAAATGGTCAAGAAAAGGAGGAGGTGGTGGTGGTGGAGGCTACAGCTCCTGGCTGCTCCGTGGCCATCGGCCCACTTCAGTGACCCATTTTCTCTCTTATCACTTGCTTGTCCTGTCTGCCTGATACCAAAAAGCCTTCAGGTCAGACCTGTCTCTTGACACATCTTGGATAACGTCCTGTACTGTGGGGTGACTGTCTCAGCTGACTTGGTAACACTGTTCTACACAAATAAATCAAAACTGGTGACAACATCTAAAAAGAATTCCAGAGACAAGAAACTGAAAAAAATCAGGGACGCTTAAAACATGAACACTTGTTCTAGTCTACATGCTTACAGGCTGTAGTTTACTCAAAAGCACTTCCAACTGTTACACTAAAACATAAAGGCTCCTAAAAACTTAACTTTTCAGGTTCTCCTTTCTGCTTATGATCTTGAGGTTAAAATTTAGATTTCACCAAACAGCAACTTTTAAACCCTCAATAAAAGATATTTCAAGAGAAATAAGAGACTTCATGTCTTCTTATTCCCCTTTAACACCTTCATGATACACCAGACCATGTGTTTCCCACCTCACAGGTGCTGGATCTGCAGAGGACAGGGCATTTGGTAAAGCCTCTGTGGAATCATTAGTAAAATTAGGGTTTAAATCTGAAAACTAAGGTTTATATGGAAAACGTAGCATCGTTCGCCCATTGAGGAAAAGCATAAAATCAAAAAGAGCTCCGAGGATGGGACACAGCTGCAGCAGGCATGCAAGGAATCCACTAACACAGCAACTCCCTGCAACATACCATAGAGGATGGAGCGGAGTGGAGTCTCCGTGGCCATGCTCCGTGATGATAAAGCGGGAAGAGATGGTCCTCTAGAACAGATAAGCAGCTCATCTGGCCCCCTGAGCCAACAGGTTTTCGACCTTGCCAAAATGCTATCCTTTTGTGAACTTTTCTCATTTTGATGTCATTTTAATACCAAAACACACCTCCATCCCAAAGGCTACCCGCCTCCGAGGTGTGACCACTCCTCTTTGAGTCTGCACCCTCGATTTTTTGTAAACTATACCTTTAAACGTGAAGCGAGAGAATTTTACACCAATCATGATAAAAGGTATGTATGACTACAGTCACTCAAACTCCACCTTAAATGTAGAAAGGATATAAAAATAGCCAGGGAAATAGGGGATTTTGGGAGAAGATATCACCGTGACCAGGTCAAGGGAAACTCCACCTCAGACTGCCTCTGACTACTGGGATCAGCTGATGGGCTGAGCCTTGCTTCTCCCCGCCTTGGGACGCCTTGGGTGAGACTTAGACTAAGCGCTTTTCTTGGGAATCTTAGAAATCTCTCTAGAGAGTTACTCCCTAACGTTTATAGCCAGGCTGTATTATTTATAACCTTTTCACACTTTTTATACTTAATAACATCATATTTGCACGTGCTTTCTTGCAGACAGTCACTATCACCGGCAATTCAAAAAACCTATATACCTGTTGCACAAATAAAACTGCACTGTTTAAGTAGCCAGTTGTTACAGTTCCTCACTGAACGCGACCAGACCCTAAGCGCAGCCATGCTAGTTCATGAGCACGACTGGAGTGAAGGTGCAGACCGCTATTGGTGTATCCAGAATCGCGGTAGTTTAATATACGTACTAAACGCGACTGGACTGGTAGTGGCAAATTGGATATCACCCAGAATTTAAACCTAGCCACACCTAGCCTCCCACTCTGGTGAGGGGAGTTAGAAAGCAAAGGGGTTTACTTTCTGCCAAATTACTCCATCCCTTATAACCCAACAGCCTCTCTCTAAGCCCCCACTGAAGTTGCAGCCCATAATAGCTCTCCATGAGCCACGCTCTTCAAGAAAACCAGAACACAATTCAACAAACAACAAGCATATTCTTTCACACACAGAAAAGTCCAATAGTTATTAAAAATGCAAGCTGCCATATTAACAGGGGCCAACGGATGGCTGGTAAGAAAACAGCCCGTGTGGCTGTTCCGCTGGTGACTGCTCAGAGAAGCATCACCAGCTGCTCGATGTCCCTTCCACTCCAGCAAGTCACCACTGCACATGCTACTGCACAGTATTCAATAGGTAGCGTGGAGAAGGGCTTGGGGTTCTTGGAAAAGATGCACATCTCGTAAGGCCAAAAGGGGGCATCCGATTAGCTAAGCTGTCACAGCATTTGGGGAAAGGCAGGCAAAATGAAACATGCTGGGAGGTTACGGTCAACACCACCACGCAGAGGAGAGCAGTGCCGTGTAATTCAAAACAACTGACAAAGGAACCTATGCTCACAGCTTTTACTTCCTCTTCTCTGCGATCTTCTTACCTTCCCACTCTAATACCAAATGACAAATAGGTACCTTCATTTATCGATCTGAGGCTCCATCCCTCTCCCCCTCACTTCTCTCTTGGCCCAGCCTCCTTTCTTTACTGCACTGTGCTTGCAAAACTAAAACACAACCATATGGCTTTTGGCAGAGCTGACTCCAAGTCCAGTAGGCATTTTGTTAGCCTTGGACATCCATCCACAGAACAGATGTGAACGCTGTGCTCAATTCCCAAGGAGTTTCAAGGAGTCACTGAAACAGGGGGAAGGAGCACATCATATGGAATAGCAGAACTTCATCTGTTACAACTTAGAAGGATTGCCAATTGCAGCAAACACTTGGAAGTCACCCAACCCAGTCATTCTATTTAAAGCACACATGCCAAAAAAAAAAAAAAAAGCAGAGGTTGATGTCTTCATTTTGACAGACGGAAAACTTGCTCTCCCCATTCCCTCTTCACACCCACAATCACACGTTTATTTTAAGTGTTAACACTATCTTCCAGATTTGAAAGTGCAAAGAAAGGAAATGTACCGAGCACAGTACATGAGGATAGAAGTGTGCAGGCCCCTTACAAAGGATTTTCCAGATGGGCTGCAATGGAAAAAGATAAAACTTGCAGCACCTGAAGGTGTGGGTAAGGTGTCAAGAATCAAAAGGTCCTGCTCTCTTCTCAGCGGTAAGTCACTATGGACTAAAGAAGCAGGAAGATTCATTGCATTTCATTTTAGTTGAATAGTTTGCGTACTACGCTAGGTGCACAGGCTTCCTATGAGGCCAAGAGGTGGACTTGCAACTGAGCAGCACTGGAAGTAGCACTTCTGGGACCAGAGCCTTCTAACGTAGGTGCAGGGCTTTGCTTTACCAACTTTCTTTCTCTGTTT